CATTTCCATATAATTTCTAAACTCACGAGTATATAATATAAGCAACTATTTATAAAATAAGATTTTTCTAATTTGATAATAAAGTAATCATCTGATTAGTTGTAATTCATACAAATATACATATGTAAGTAGTAAATAAACAAAATGTGTTCGTTTGATGAAAGTAAATAGATCGGTTATTGTTTTGTTTGTTTGTTTATTTTTTTGAAAAAAAATAGTTTGTAAGCATAATAGATCTTATTGTATATAGAACACATTGTTACTGATCCGTTGTTTTAGTTATTCATATGAATCAACGTGTTAACTAATCATCATTCATTATATCTTTATTTCTAATTTCCATAGAGTGAAAGATAAAAAGTGAAAAGATGTGAATAAACTAAGTATAAAAATATTATTCTATATGATACTTGATGATGATTTTTTTAATAATAACTAGTCATTTTTTAATAGTTGAGATTATGAGTCCATTGAAGCTAGACAAGCATGAAAAATCTGGAACCACTGGAAGGTCATTTCGACCTATTTTGGGATTTCTCATTATTGCGCATCAATGGCTTCGCCTCGCGGGATTTAAACTAGTCATTATTGAAAAACGAATCATACTCTTTAATAGACTAATTTTTAAAGAAAGAATATTTTATTCAGTTTCTATTTCAAGTTATTGCTTAAAATTCCAACTGAAAGCAAATTAAAAATACAATTTACCATATAAATGTCACCATTATGTCAAAAAAAGAAAAAATTCATGATCCTATAATATAAATTGATTATTACGTAATATGGATAATGACTATTTCTAGTCACTTATATTTTGTTTGAATTGGCCGCGAAACTTTATATATATATATATATATATATATATATATATATCTTTCCTCATTACTAAGACTAAATTTATCATACTATTTGAAAAGCTTAATTTTTAATTTATAACCAGAATTATATAAAGGGTAAGATGGAGCAACTTATTTTTTATCTTATTTGTTAGTATTATGTATCTCATATCAGAATTTAATTATGTTTCAAATCAGAATTAGTACACTATTCTAAACATTGTTTTAAGACTGTTGAGAAAAGGTTATGTTTATACTGTCAAGCAACTTATCTTACAATAGACTAACTCAACTCGAAAATTTGCTTAACTGTGAAAAATTATATATTTGAAGTCTATATAATTGTAAAAATCCTCATTGTGCTACTTGTAATAAATGTTATTAATTTCTAACGACATTGACATATGTGACAAATCATTAAATGATAAAGATATATCGACTCTCAGTTTCTCTTCCGATTAGTGATGATATTGTATTACGTACGTTTTATCGTTTAGTCAAGATATGTTTGATTTCCTCTATTTCTTTGTCATAATTCATGATACTACGCATGAAATTAGTTTCTGACTCTTTTTAAATTTATTGCTTACTTACGGCTGTTACTCCTCGTGAAAGTGCATAGGCCGCTCACCAGCACTCGCCATCCAACCCTGTCTTGGGAAATCCTTTCCAGCTCTTCCTAGTTCTTATTCATCCTTTTCACATCTGATTCTATTTCCCGACGTAATGTGTTCTTTGGTCTTCCTCTTTTACACTTCCCTTCAGGATTCCAAGTTATGGCTTGCCGCTTGTTGCAGTTTGATGAGTTGCCGAATGTATGTCCTATCCATTTCCATCGCCTCTTCCTAATTTCCTCTTCAACTGGAAGCTGGTTTATTCTCTCCCACAGTAGACTGTTGCTGATAGTATCCGGTCAATGAATGTTGAGTATCTTGCGTAGATAACTATTTATAAATATTTGTACCTTCTTGATGGTGGTTGTTGTAGTTCTCCAAGTTTCAGCTCCATACAGTAGAACTGCCTTGACATTCGTATTGAAGATTCTGACTTTGATATTGGTTGGAAGTTGTTTTGAGTTCCATATGTTCTTCAATTGTAGGAATGTGCCCCTTGCCTTAGCAATCCTCGCCTTTACGTCTGCATCTGAACCTCCTTGTTCATCGATGATGTTTCCCAGGTACGTGAAGGATTCTAAATCTTCCAGAGTTTCACCATCAAGTGTGATTGGGTTGATGTTCTCTGTGTTTTAAATTTATTGACTAAGTATTTAACTAAATTTTCAATCTGAACTTAAGCATATTATTATTAAGTTTTAAATAGAATACTTCTGTTTATTTCAATAATAAAAATGAATAAGACATAGTCATATCCCTTGTAGATTCTTATAAGTTGAATCTATTTATAAAAATCTTTTAATAAAACCTTCTGTTTCCGACTATCCTCCAGTCAAAATATTTAACAGAATACTTTACATTTATAAAAGTCAAAATTAGTTCCTTATCCCTTTTTACAATCAAAACATTTATTTCGTTCACCATAAATTGTTCTGTAAAACAATAATTCGTTATTTTGGTTGAGATCATGAATCAATTGATGTCAGACCACCGTTGGAAACCTGGAAGCACTGGACGGCCGTTTCGTCCTAGTATGGGACTCCCCAGCAGTGCGCATCCACGATCCCGCGAGCGGGATTCGAACCCAGGACCTACTGGCTTCGCGCCTGAGCACTTAACCATTAGACCACTGAGCCGGCATCCAATGGTGTTAGTGTTTAACATCAACCAATCCACGAAATTGCGCGATCAACTTCCATTGTACTGAGGTAGATACCTGTCTCTACCCGACACGGATTAGCTCCACAGGTCACGACTTCTCACTAGAACTCCGAGAATTCCCTCACGAAGCTAGTCACTAGTGAGCACATGTTAATTATCAGTATGGGGGTTGTGGAGATTGTTAAGATTTTGGTTGAGCCCAGTAGGTCCTGGGTTCGAATCCCGTTCGCGGGATCGTGGATGCGCACTGCTGAGGAGTTCCATACTAGGACGAAACGGCCGTCCAGTGCTTCCAGGTTTCCAACGGTGGTCTAACATCAATTGATTCATGATCTCAACCAAAATCTTAACAATCTCCACAACCCCCATACTGATAATAATTCGTTATATCAAACATTTGATTGAGAACAGTCATTTAAAACCGTCTACTGAACAATTAAAAGAAGTTATTAAACAAATCTAAACTAAGATAATGAGCACTCATAGTAAATATATGCTTATTTCATAATACGAATAAAAACTCTGTCAGCAAGCATCCCAACAGAAACTAGTCATACAATAATACATAGTTCCAATGCACAAAGTTTAATTCATTATACTGTTTTAACATAACATTAAGTAAATCGTATTCATTTAAGGAAACCAACTGAGTTATTAAATAAAGATATTTTAGCGAAGAAAGTTTTCTTACAGAAGTTTTCATTTACTAGAATTATACAATTAAAATCAGTTATGTTCCTTACATAGAAATCTATAATATAAATAAAGTTATTGTATCATTAGATAGAATATCTATTTACAAAGAAATGCCATCATACAATTAAGAATGAAACAAACTAAAACGTAATCTTTAAACCTAAATCGATCGTTTATTAAAAACTAGCGCAAGATCAAATACGTCATCATAAAATGAAGTTTAAAGGTAAAAAAAACACGAATATAGATGTAAACGTCTTTCGTAGACATTAAGCATGGTTTTTCAGACTATCTACCTTCGTTTTATTTAACAGAACAAACAATACATCTATAAGAACATTTTTGAAATAAAAATTACTTTAGGATATCAGATAACAAGCATTTGATAACTTTATCATTTGATAAGATGACAAGCTTTAAATACAAAACTTTCCATATCATACATACAATCTATATGATATTCAAAACACAATTACTCGAAAATGTTTTATCCGTGACTTATTTCCAATTGTTCAATTATTGTCATACATTTCTCTGTTTTAGATTTATTTATTTAACTAAAACATTCTCTAATCACGTTTACTTATCAATTTTTACAATTTAACGTGTTCTTTATAACTTCAGTTACGGTAGTTTGTAGATTTTCTCTTCCTCATACAGTAAACACTAATTTATGTAAAATGATGTCATGAGACGAATGATGATCGTACACATTTACAAATAGGTTTAAATTAAAGTCAGTCACTGTTCACAGTCTCTTGTATATACCTTCCTGAATATTGACAAATGAAATAATTATAAAAGAAGAATTTTGCCGAAAACTGGCATAGTTTTTACTGAGATGCCCATGTTGTAATCAATTACATGATACTGAATAAAGTGAAGACTCATATTACTATCATTATAGCGTTTTTCTTTTCTAATATTTTAGAGTATAAAGGCACATCAGGTGCCTAAATTGTAGTTCTTTTATAACATCAATATATCATTTTACTTAATAAATGATACATCTATAAAAGTAAATAAAAATGAATAACAGTCTTCGTTTAACTCAATCAAGTCAGTCAAAATATAATTTTGACTTTCTCATATTATACATTTTACATGAAGTCTACGATAAAATATTTGCTAAACTATTGTACAGTTAGGCTTGTTTTGCTTGTCATAAATAGGACTATATACATACAGTCAGAATGTCCCAAAAAAAAATATAAATATGCCAGTGGAGTTCAATACAGGTCTGCTGTGAGATAGTAACTCACAGAAGACAATGGTGAATGTGTCGCCCAATTTCGTGGATTAGTTGAAGTTGGACATTAACAACGTTGGAAGCCGGCTCAGTGGTCTAGTGGTTAAGTGCTCGCGCGCAAAAAACTAGTAGGTGCTGGGTTCGAACCTCGCAGAGGGCGAGGTTGTGGATGCGCAGTGCTGAGGAGTCTCACAATAGGACGAATTGGCCGTCCAGTGCTTCCAGGTTTTCCATGGTGATCTAGCTTCAACTGACTCATGATGTTAACCATTGATATAAATATGCACTTACCAATCAAATATAGCGAGTGACAAACAAATTTAAACACGATAGCACATCATTTATATATAACAAAAAAAACCAAACAACTAAATATTCACAAAGAAATCTAATAATATCACTAGTAATGTAAACAAACATTCTAGATATTAGACGAGTACATACCAGTAAGTAAACATGAGAACTAATCATATGATACACAGTTTCACCGTTTCTTTATAATGAGCTTCCTTGACAATATTTTTAAAAAATATCTTGAATCTATCCAAAGGTAATATATAGTTAATTCAATAAATGATGTGATCAATTATGTAATCAAAAAAACAAAATCCATTTCATTTCATAATTGATTTTTTTATTGTACATTTAATGTTTATATACCATTTAATCATATATGTACTTTATAAATAATCAGTAGTATATGCAAGTAGTACACAACATAAATAATAATTCATTCATAAATTCAATAATAATATTAGTAATATATGAAATGGATCAAATAAATTACGAAAATTTTCATAATTCTATTTATTCTAATAAGTCTTTTATATATGATTTGTTTTGTTTAGAAAAACAAACAAAAAAAACTATAACCAATCATATTAAACCTTAAAGCTAATTGACAATTATCAGAACAAATAAATAAGTAGAATATGATACTATATCAATCATTGAAAAGTTGTTTATTATTATCTTATATAAAATAAGTATACTGATAATAAGTAATATTGTATCTGTATTTTAGATTTATGTATAAAAATCAAATGATGATACGTCTATAAATGTAATAAGATAATTGTTTTCATGATTTAATAAGTAGTATAAAAGTAGTGATTTTCTTATACACTAAATTATGAATTATGAAAAGTAGATAGATACTGTTTGTTCATAGTTTTTTTCTTTAAATTATGCAATTAAAGTTAACTGTATGATTTATTTTCCATAGTAAATCCATTACCATTTCAAATGAAAAAAGAATTTGTACAGTTATATCAGGACAATTATTATTTACGTGACAATTTAATTCAAGTCATTTATCAATAAAGGATTTATGTAGTACACTTCCAGTGACATTGTTTGTATAATAGTGAATTCTTATTACATACCATGTAGAGCATAACTAGTTTTCTTTTCTTATAGATATATACCTACTCAGTGATCATAAGATGATATTTATTTTCATTAGAAATTGTATATGACAGGGTTTGATTTTATAAAGTTTGATTTCATTGAATAATACATATTTATCTCAGAAGGATTTGTGGATATTATAGTTATTACAATGGTTGAGATCATTAGTCAGTTGAAGCTAGATCACCATGAAAAACCTGGAAGCACTGGACAGCCGTTTCATCCTATTGCGTGACTGGTTGGAGTTAGACATTAACATCGTTGGATGTCGACTCAGTGGTCTAGTGTTAAGGCGCTCGCGTGCAAGACTGATAGGTCCTGGATTCAGATCTTGTGAGGCAAGGTCATGGATGCGCACTGCTGAATAGTTTTACAATAGAACGAAACGGGCGTCCAGTGTTTACAGGTTTTTCATGATTGTTTGGCTTCAATTGACTCAAGATCTCAATCATTAAAATTAATATATATTTGTTAAATGATTTTTAATGTATTTAACTCTTGTTTTTCTTCAAAAAAGTAGACAAAAAGGAAAAACGGTTCCAGGATGATTTTTGAAATTTTCATCATTTAGTTTTACTAAGATGTGTAAATTTTTTGTGAATGAGTGTGAATATTCATTGAATTTATCATATGCAAATTCTTCAGTTAAAATAAACTCCAAGTGATCTTTTCATTGAAATATTTATAGTATTTAGAACATAGTTGGTGCAGTGATTCAAGAGGAATTCTTGTATATAGTCATTATCAAATACAATAAAGTACATAAAACCCAGACTATAAAGATAATCAAATATAAACCATATATTTCTATAGAAATGAATGAAATATTTGTTTCAGCCTTGAAGGAAAAATAACTGGAAACAAATTATGGATTATAAAATAGTTAGTATGCTCAAATTTAAACAGATCAATTAAAGTTTGCAAAATCTGAAAAGTCGGTGAAAATTTTGCAATTGTAATATCACTATGGGCTTAGTTTTAAAACTATGGTGTTTAAAAGAAATAGGTCTCTGTTCTAATAGATATGGACTGACGGGTTGGAGTCCTCATGATTATAATAATCCATAGTTGGAAACTTTGAATGACATGGCTCATAATCGTTTAGAATGACGCAGGTGCATCTACTCTCTATATTTACTTAGATTCAAAGTCCATAGATTATTCAGAATTTGTTTTATATATAAGTAATTCATATTTTCTCTTTCATCCCTCAGTTATTAAGTTAACAAATTACTCATAATTCTCCTAACTAATGTATATTTTCTTGAATCATATCTTTCACACCTAATCACTTTTATAATTTCTAATATTGTTACTAACTCTACGACTCTGAAGTTCGTCCTAACTGTTTCATCTTGCTGTGCTTATAGAGTATGGGAACTTCATCCGATATATACCAGATCATACATTTCATTTGACTAACTTAGTGTATTATTATGTTTATTAATAACTTTTGGGTTAATTCAACTAAATCTTATATTCAGTCAGATACATAAAATACAATATACAGTTTAAAAGTCACTATAAACTGTTAGTGATTTTCTTTTTGGTAAAATAGTACTCGGCTAGGTTTATGCGATCACGGAGCTTTAGGGTCTATTAAGTATTATTAGGTATGAAATATGGAAAATAATATAATATATGGTAATATTTAAGAGGAGTTGGCTGTTAGCTACAATTGATATGACTGGTAATCAACAATATCTGAAATGAAAAATTAAGAATATATATTCAAAAATTTCTGAAGCTTTGATAACTTTAGTTACATAAAAAACGAACCTAAGACTGTTCACTTTCAAAAGCCCTTCAAAGGAGGAACTGTTCAAGATTTTTGCTTACTTACACTTTTAACCAATATAAACGATTGTATATTATCCTCTCCAAACATTTTAGATGAAACATTGTTCCATTAACTAAGAAAGCACAAACATTATCATACAAATAAATAGTGACAAATCCATAGTCGTTTATAGCTTTGAGAAACAAATTGGATACGAGAAGTAACTTCGCAATGCAATAACAAAACAATCATGTCTTTACCACTGGCTAGTTTTTAATCACAGGTTTAGAAAACGTGGATAGTTTGCATTTTTTTTAAAACATAATACTATTATTAGGTGTCTTAACCATCTCATTTACACAATTTGTTTCGTTAGTTTATATAAAGAGATGTGATAGTCTAAGGAATCAGTATGTTAATAGAATTATCTTGCTCAAATTTCATTAATCTAATTCACTCATCGTCTAAATGAAGCTTTAAAATTATTGATATAAAAACGTCCATCATAAAATATTTGGCTTTATTCTGCTATGAAGTATTGTTATTGAAAGAGTGGAAATTCACTGTTTTTAAATATAACAACGTATAGTTATACATTGCCTCTATTACTCTAATGGTATTAAATAAAAAGCAATATTCCAAATAACTATGTTTTGAACCTACATTAACTGTAGTGATGTGGACACGAATCAAATATTCTTAAATATATATCCTTCATCAACTTACCATTTTAATATTAATTTAATCAAATACGCTTCACGATTATCAAACCAAGACATTTTATCAATAAACGAAGTCTTGGACTAGTCGTATGAAAGATTAAATCTTTCAGATTAAAGTCCTGTAAACAGATAAAATCAGTAATTTCAAGATTTAAGTAAAATATTTGAAAGTTAATCGCAATAGCGCAGATGAATTCGTTAATCGTCTTTCCTTATTTGCTGAATATTATGATGTTTCAATCTAAGTTTTTTTCTAATTTTTGAACGGAAACATATTAAATCCATAAAACAGCTGGGATACAACCACAGAACTTCTCTAATAAGATGTAATAAAAGATAAGTTAAAAAGATTGATGGATTATTACATTGTTTCCTAAAAATCATTATAGATGTGGTGAAAATCTGTAAGTATTCTTTAGTCAAACAGTATTGTATCAACTGCGATAATTTAAATATATAAGAAAGTGAACAGATAAAGTTATTTATGTCAACTATTGAATTACAACCCACTGGTTTTCATATATTATGGTTTACAAATAACCTATGCAAATCGATATCGTTTATGTGTAACAGAATTATTGTACATTTTTGATAAATTGTAACATTGGACGAAATAGATGACTATCACTGTGTGATTGAATTTTGATCGTCCAGTTTATGATAATCTGAAACTAATACTATGTATGTATTGAAATAAACTTCACATTATCTATCTAACAATTGAGCGAAGAAATTTCTTTTCAATTAGTTTTTCATCATGGCTCTACACTAATATATATACGTTTTACAATAATAATATAATACTCATCGAGTAGATATGTTACGCAATAATTACATAATGACATTTAAATTAACATTCAGTAATTGGAAGAGAGAGGATTATTAATATTCAAAGTAGTCAAGAAGTTGCTATGTTGCGTAATATAAGAAACAAAGAAGGAACAGAATTTTAACGGATGGTCAATAGGATGGTAGTTACGTAAGAATCGAGAGATGAATGTTGAGAAGTTGTTAAGTTCAAAAGCAACAGAAATAAAAAATAAAAATTAAAAAAAAAAATGGAAGAAGTATGAAAAATAGTTATTTTGAAGAAAATCTTAAACTGATGGCCAGGCAGGGAAAGTGGTTGTACGAATTTCTTTGGATGCAAAGGTCAGGTTTGTAAACATGGATTGCGATGGCTTCCGCAATGTGCAAAAGGCGCACTCGTAAACCATGTGGTAGATTTGATGGAATATTGTAGATAATCTTAAAAGCTTTATTCAGTTCGACTTGATGACCTGTGTCAACCAAGTGAGAAAGAATAGAACTTTTAATCACTTTTACCTGTCCTTTGTTTAACCACGATGGATGATGTTCAGTAATGCGATGACGGACTTGCCGAACTGTACGACTCAGAAACTAAGAAGAGCCGTACAAAAAACATTTAATGCTGCCAGATTAAATGCAATCTTCTACAACTATCCCAAGATAAGAACAGCCAACAAAGACAGACTGCCTGAATTCGCCAAATCTATGTGCATCTATCGTTTCAACTGCTCCTGTGGAGCCAGTTATATTGGGCGTACAGTTCGGCAAGTCCGTCATCGCATTACTGAACATCATCCATCGTGGTTAAACAAAGGACAGGTAAAAGTGATTAAAAGTTCTATTCTTTCTCACTTGGTTGACACAGGTCATCAAGTCGAACTGAATAAAGCTTTTAAGGTTATCTACAATATTCCATCAAATCTACCACATGGTTTACGAGTGCGCCTTTTGCACATTGCGGAAGCCATCGCAATCCATGTTTACAAACCTGACCTTTGCATCCAAAAGAAATTCGTACAACCACTTTCCCTGCCCTGGCCATCAGTTTAAGATTTTCT